GGTAGATAATCTTAATCACTTGCTCACAAAGCTCTTCAAAACAAAAAGAATTCACAAAATTTCACTCTTCAAAATATTTTCAAACAAACACTTTGTACGCATTCTCGATGACAGATACGAGAATCATTAGAAAGTCTCTCCTTACATTGGAAACCTTTCAAAATATTTTCAAATACACAATAAAAAGCAATTTTTAAAAAGTGACTTAAGCGATTAAGAGCTCGTAGATAACTACGGATGAAAAGGGTGCTAATACCTTTCCTTTTCATAACCTATCCCCCGAACTCAAAATCTATCAAGGTCTTTCATATTCTTTTCACCCTTTCCTTATTGGATAAAAGAAAATTAGGTGGCGACTCTTTCTACTCGCAACATTTGTGATAAAAATGCAAAACCAAGTCAGTTCTCTCACTGTATTACACCTTCGAACTAGAAATTGAGACTGAAACTAGTGGTGACAATGTTAAGACTGGACTTGATTCTGGAAAAATGGAAATGATGAAACTTGTCATACCCTAAATTTGCCCTACCCTTATATTATATTTGGTTTTTTTAATTCAATAAACCGTATTATTTAGTCTTTATTTCTATGGGGTACGAAACATGGAAGGGGGTGTGATTGATGTAAAATGGGCCATCGATATCTGATGGTCCATTAAGTTTTAAAATTCGCTCAAGTTTAAAAGAGAGGTGTATTATTTTAATCAAGGAGGTGAACAAATTCATTTTTGATAAAGCCCATTACAAGTTTTGATTATTTCTGAAAAGAAATTGTTTGTTTGCATACACTGATTATTATTAGTATTATAATTATTTATTATTATAAGTAATACTTTTATTTTTGAAATTAGTCTTATTTGTTAATTTAAGAAAAGGAAAAAATATTGTTGTTTAAGAACACGTAGCCCAACTTTTTGATCAAAATAATTGAAAATCAATCTCTTTTTCTAATTATTATTTCATTTTATTAATTAATATAATGAGTTATTACTAATATTATTTTTGAAGTTGTGTTCATAATTCTAAAAATAAAAAACGTTAGATTAATTGTAAGGCCCAAACACCATTTCACTTGGTTTATCTCTAAAACCCAGTTTAAGAAATAAGATTGGTTTGGCCCGTTACATTTTATCTGTCTTAACAATTATTTTTAGTCCATAATTATTAAGATTGCTGGAATATTTAACTTGGCCTGTTATTGCTGGAAGAAGACTGTAAAGTTTCAGGCCCAAAGAAATGCACAAGCCCATCATAAACAAACGCATGTCCAGGGTAGTAAAAAAACGTTTGGCCCAAAAAGCACCAAACGTTTGGCACAAATATGTATATCATCTATTTACGATTGCTTTTGTTTGTTGTTTCAAATATTCTCTTTTATGCCTTGAGTAATTTGGTTTTATTAATTTGAAATGACACGTGTCGCATCATAAATAGATGATATACATATTTGAAAAGTCAATGAACAGATTGATAAAAGAAGGGGTTACGCCCCTGTTGGTGATGTTTTCTTGTTTACTTTGGAATTCTTTGACAATTAATCATAATTTTTTTAATTTAATTTTGAGATTTTGTTTCTAATTTTGTATTTAGCCTATGCACTTGTTTTAAGTATTTTATGTTAATCTTCTTCTATTATCAGTTAATGCAATTTTTCTTTCTTTGACAAATTGTTAATTGTTACTCTTTGACAAAATAGATCATTCATTCACTTATTTAAGTTGTTTTATTCACTCAATTGTATTTAGTGAGCTTATTCATTTTCTTTAATATATGAAAATGTATTATATTTATTTAGGTGTTTAGTTTGTTTCTTGTCAATTATATGAAAAGTATTCGACAAATTCTTGTGCATCTTATTAATTTCTGACTAAAATCACGTGTACATGAATCAAACTTTTTTTCAAACAATTAATTCAAACATTCTATAAATAATAGGATGTCCATTTTCGAGTAATTAAATCGATTGATGCATCGCCTACCGATTTATTATTCAAAATTAATTCAATATTAAAATCTACACAAACTCACCAAATTACTACACCCGCGAGCGACACGTGGCCAATATCTGGTCACGTGACGAGGAGACTATATCAGACTCCTTTGCTCTACGTATAAAAAATATCCAACCAAATATCAAATCTCTTTTCGCAAATTAAATTAATTCGAACAATTAATTTTTGGAAAGGAATACGAATATATTTAAATTAACTGCACACTTGGTCTAACAAACTCCACCATTCACACTCTTAGACTATGTATGCGGGAAATTCAAATATATTTCGTAATCCATAAAAAAAACCGTGAACTATGAAATGAGACTCTGATTCCTCCTAGGAGGATACGTAGGCATACGATAAAAAATCGTGGCGAGTCCCGCTAACTAAAATTCAAGCTTTTTTCCCAATAATAATTAAAAACCCTATTTCCTAAAAATGCGCTTCTAAACCTAGTATCCTTGTGAACAAGGTAGATATAGGGTGTCTAACACCTTCCCCTTGTCTAGAATCGAGTCCAAACCTAGAATCTCTGAATTTCTTGTAGGGTTATTCCTTTATACTCCCTTCCTTTAGGATAAAAATTAAGGATGGCGACTCTATAAAAAAACCAGTTGCAACAAAATTGATGTGAGATTTGGTAAGAATTTAATATATACAAGAAAGAAGAACATTCTCGAATCTACTCATATCCAAGAATACAATCTGACATTACATGATGTATCTTCTCCCGAACCTTCAAGCACTAGTGATTCAATTTTTGAATTTTCTCATGAACAAGAAACATAATTCAACTCAGTACGACCACCAAACTACAAGGATTTAGATATTCTAATTTCCCTTAGAAAAGTTACCAGAAAATGTACTTAATATCCAGTTTACCCTATATCCAACTACCTAAGTTTTAAACATTTTCCCATAAAGCCTTCCTTGCAAGTTTAAACACTATAACAATACCTAACTCTTTATCTGAGGCATTGTCTGATAAGAAATGGAAACAAGTCATGGACTTGGAGATGGAGGCACTGAATAAGAACAATATTTGGGAATTGGTTTCTCTTCCAAATAGAAAGATACTTATAGTGTGCAGGTGGTTATACAGTGTAAAATAAAAGGTTAGTGGATCTATTAAGAGGTACAAGACATGATCGGTTTCCAAAGGATTCACCTAAGGGTGATATCATCTTTAGCAGCTAATTACAATTGGAATTTACATCAATTTGATTTGAAAATTTTTCTTCCTTCATGGAGAACTTGATGAAGAGATATATATGAATGTACCCCCTGGATACTATGAACTTATTACCAACAGTATTGTGTGCAAATTAAAAAAGCTTTATATGGGATAAAGCAATCACCACGAGCATTGTTTAGAAGATTAGCCAAAGTTATGATAGATTTGGTCTTTAAACAAAGTCCATGAGATCATACTCTATTTATCAAACATTTTTTAGACAGGGGGGTAACAGTTTTTTTAGTGTATGTAGATGACATTATAATAACGTGTGATGATGAGAAGGAGCAGTCATTGTTAAGAGAACACTTAGCCAAGGAGTTTGAGATTAAGACCTTGGGAAAATTGAAGTACTTTATGAGAGTTGAAGTTGTCCACTCTAAGAAAGGATTATTTATATCTCAACAAAAATACATTACTGATCTTCTACAAGAGACGGGTAAGACAACATGCAAGCCTACAAGTACACCAATTGATCCAAGTGTAAAGTTGGGGAACACAGAAGAAAATATTTCGATTGATAAGAGAATGTATCAAAGATTATTCGAAAAACTTATATACATATCATATACTAGACCATATGTTGCTTTTGATGTAAGTTTAGTCACTCAATTCATGCACCAACCAAAGGAGATTCATTTACAAGTTGCGCTCCAAATTATGAAATATTTAAAAAGAACTCCAGGTAGAGGAATTTTGTTTCAACACAATGAAAGTGTGGGTCTTTAAGCATATAGTGATGTTGACTATGTAGGGTCAGTTGTGGATAGAAGATCAACTACGGGATATTATACTTTTCTAGGTGGGAATCTTGTGACCTGGAAGACTAAAAAACAAAGTGTTGTATCTAGATCTAATGTTGAAGCAAAATTCAGAGCAATGGCACAAGGGATATGTGAACTACTTTGGCTGGAAATGATCTTAGAAGACTTGAATATAAAGAGTGATGAACCAATGAGACTTTATTGTGATAATAAATCTGCTATTAGCATAATCCATAATCATGTGCATCATGATAGAACCAAACATATTGAAGTTGACAGACACTTCATCAAAATAAAAGTTAGATAGTGGTCTTATTTTCACTCCATATGTTTCTTCTCAAGACAACCTTGCAAATCTTATAAATAAGGGGTTAAACAACAATAACTTTGAAAAGATTGTTTTCAAGTTGGAAATGATAGATATCAATTCACCATCTTGAGGAGAGGTGTTGTAAATATGTTATTTTTATTATTATTAGTAATAATTTACATTCAAACTTTTAGTCTATTATTTAGGCCCATTATATTAGAATAGTCTTATATAAAGATATTAGTGCTTGTAATTTTAATATACATGAAATATATTATTCAGTTACAAACACCAACCTTACTAACAAGTGTCAAAAACTCATATTTACCCTTACGAATTTTTCTTACTCTAACTTTGTCATTTTTCACATACTTTATATCTCTTCCATTTAATAATGATCATTCAGTAATTACCTCCTTAAATAAATCAAGTGATACAAACTTCAATCCCACTTTAAACTTGTAATTCGTATCCAACTCCTCCGTCTTAAATCTAGGATACTTTAGTCCATTTTCTTTATCTGAAACATCAGGATCACTACTGTCAAGCTCATCACTAGCATAATTAGTGTCCATCTCATCATTAACATCATTAGATGAACCTACATTATCATCAATTCTTAATTTTTTTGGAGTATTATTGTGCTTCCTTGCTATTTGTTTTACCCTTTTTCTTTTTCCCTCAGATTGTATATCAATTCAATCAAATCTCTCATCCAACCCAAGAGCCCTCACATCCTCAGTATCATCAAATGATATATCATTAGCTTCAAAATCATTATCGTCATTGTCTTATCACTGTCATCAATATTCTCATGCTCATCTTCTTTAACATTAACAGCTTCTTCATCATTAACACCACCCCCTCAACATTAATATCATCCTCAAAATTAATACCATATTCAACATTAATAGCACCATCATCATCATTAACATTAACACCAATAACATCATTAACACCAACTTCATTAATAGACAACCATCCTCAATATTAACATTAACACCATAATCAACATTAACAGCACCATCATCATCATTAGCATTAACACAATCATCAACTACTTTATGCTCGACATATATATCCACTACATATTTCATTTCAACAACAAATTTATAAACATTATTAGCATCACTATCACTAACCATTTTACTGTTTATGTCTGATTCATTGTTATACCCACATAACCAATATTCTGAATACTCAAGTTGACAAAGGTCTTTCACAATATCATTAGCTTCAAAGAAGCTCCACTTATCGTGATCAATGTCTACTATATATTCATGCCCACCTAGATAATATATTACATTGTCCCTAACAAATTTTGCCACATAATGATAGTTCACAATAAATATTATATCTAGTTGAATCGATCGTTTTGCTCAACGTCTTTTGATTCGTCTACCACATTCGTGGCCCATACACCCTTTTTTGATGGGAAATATTTGATCCACGTGTAATAAATAGTGTCATAAAAAAATTAAAAAACAAAAGTCAAGTCAACAACGTTAGCCACATAGGTTTTTTTTAACAGAACTTTGACGTCATTGACTAACGCCAACAAGAAAGTAACATATAGGGACTTCGACTGAAAAAAAGATTTAAAAACTAAAATCAAAAGCTCGTCAACTTACAGGGACCAAAAGACTATTTAAGCCTTTAATATAGGCAATTTTCCATTGCACCCTTATACTTTCTCTCATGCCTCTGACAAAATTCCAAAAATACCCCCCGCTTTCGGAGATAGATCTCTGAACGCACTATTTTTCTACAAAATACTTAATTTCAGAGAAGCATATCCAAATAAACTTTATTTTTTACGAAAAAAAGATATGTTCAGATATGCATCTCTGAATAAACCTTATTTTTTATGAAAAATGGTATGTTCGAATATGCATATCTGAAAAATTCACTGTTATGTTTTTTTAAACTTAGTATTCAATGTATCCAGATAGACACGCCTAATAATCATGCGTCAACAATGCAACAAATATGTAAATATCAAAAAATTTCCTATTAAAAAAAACAATTGAAAATAGAAAAATGATTAAAATAAAATTATAAAAATCTGAAAATACAACTAAAAATCAAATAAAATAAAACTAAGTGTACAAATTTTTCAAGATTTTTTGAAAATTACAACAACAGAAAATAAATCAAATAAAATAGAAAAACAAAGAATTTAGAGTTTTTAGAGTGGTGTCCCATATTTTGTCCTAAAACAGCCAAAATGGAGACTTCGATCCCTAATATTTTTCTGATGAATTGGCACAATAAAATTTCCATTCCAAATTGATTTTTCAGAAAACCGCATTTTTTACATTAGGTCACGTAAAGGACAAACACAAGAACGCAAGGACCAAAACGTGAGGATACAATTCCTATAACTCTAATGTTGGTTAAAATCAACACAGAGTCTCTAACAATTGCATCAATTTCAATGAAAATGCGTAGTAAATAAATTCATGAGTATTTTTTAATATGCATCTCCAAATTTACCTAGAGTGAATTGGAAGATGCATATTTGAACCAATTTTCTACTTGTTTTATGAAGGTTACGTTCAGATATGCATATCCGAATAAATTCAATAATATTTTCAAATTTTCAAAGGTGCACCTCGATATACAAGAATGTAATGGGAAATTGCCTTAATATATTCTTAATAAAAAACATATAGATTAGGACCAAGAGAATGGCAATCTTTTGGTCAAACAAAATTTAACTACCATTTAGGATTTAATAACTTAAGTCGGTATTTTATTATTAAAAAAAAAAAACACAATTATACTTCTATAAAATAAATTGAATTGATTAGCCCATATATGTATACAGCCAAAAGAATACATGGAAAAAATTATGAACTACTAAACTAGTAGTAATAGTATACATTTGGCTCCACGGATGAATCTTCATTTGGCTCCATAAAAGAATCTTCCATGACTTATCTGGACTGAGAGTTGCTGCTCTTTGTTGCTAAAAGATGAACATAAATAATTGCTTGTTGTATAAGTTGATATTGATAATCGCGTGAAAACTCTGCGCTCATTCTAATGATCGAGGTCAAAATTTTAGAAAACTTCAATAGCTTCAACTTCTTCAATTTTCGATTTGCCTTTAGGCCGACCAACTTGTCTCACATCTCTACCTGATAAAAGTTTAAGTGCCTTTTCCAAGGTAATTTCACTTGGCTTCATATTCTGCATGCAAATTTAAAGGGGAAACAGTCAAGGATCATACTCACCTAAGTTTACTGATGCTAACATCTCATTTCCTTTTTTGAATCACAAATTTAACTTATTGAAGAAACCTACCTCAAAAAAAAAAAAAGATGTTTTCTCTATAAATTTTTTAAAACGGCTCACAAATTATAAATTTCTGAAAACTTTGATTGTTCGGGTTATCCCTATCTCAAATCATATACTACTCTCACAAATTATCTTTTCCCCGATTATAACCTCATGAAAATATTATCTTTTTTTACCACTAATGCTTTTGCTTACATTCTAATTTAGCTGCTAAATTCTCTTCCAGAGGTGGCAAAGACATGAAGGAAACAAAATCTTGACAAAAATAATGAAACTACAAGAATACCTTGGGAACGGGAGCAATTTTGTGTCGATGTCTAATAGAATAACCAGCCTTTGCAACCTTTAATATGATAGGTCGTTCATCCTTAGGATGCTTACCCTAATCAAGAACAAAACATTTACCAAGTTAGCAAGGCCTAAAGAGCATACCTCGGGGGGAGGGGGGAAAAGATTAATAACTTCAATGTACAATAATTATACTAATCATTAAAATCTTGCAAGCTTAATAATACAAAAAAAAAAGTAATTCATTATTTGATTAAAAGTTTGCCTTGCACTTATCTTTTTCATAAGATATTATTACGACACCAAGATTGTCTCACAACCAAACTATAAAAATCATAAAATCATTTGTCAAAAATTGACATGCAAAATCAACATGACAAATAGCTCAACACAAATTGAGAAACATACCAATGTCAATGGATATTGTAGCAACGTAAGTGCATCTTCAAGTGTCACAGAGTCCAAATCCTTTACCTGAAACAACCCAAACTCTATAACTTCTTTCATTTTATTCGAAGATATAATAATTGGCCAGCTTGCACAATTAGCTATTTAACCCATGATCCTTATAAATCAGAGAACGCATTAACCATACCAGCAATCACACAAATGCAAACCCATCACACAAACTCAAAAAGGGACGCGAGAACTTTTTGCAAAATTGAAAGAAAAAAAAAATAGCCACAAAATTCAACATATAATTTGAATATAATGCTACCAATTTGATTTCAACAATCAAGACCAAGAAAAGATGATTCTAGACAAAAATGATGGTCCCTGCCCCTACAAAATGTCATCATCATAATTCATATCGCAGATAGCTGAAAAGATAGAATATGGTTAAGTAGCAGTATGCAGTAAAATAGTAACCAAACTTAGTGTTGTAAATTGAATCAATTTCCAGCTTACCTTCAAGTATTGTTCAGAAAACTAAATTAGTGTTTTTTTAAAAACCTAAACCCTTTTATCAAGAAGATTCAATACAAGTAAGCTTTACCTAGATGACCATTCTAATTTCCACAAGTCCTACAAATTCCTTCATTAAAGGAAATGTAAACGTATAATACTATTAGAACACTGCACAATATGAGGGCATGCAAGAAAAATGAGATACACATACTTCTTCATGCCATTAATACAAACTATTATAATACCTCATATTGATGGCCTAAAAAATAAGCTAAACTGCCTCAAAAAGTTGAAAATGACAGTGTGACATACATGAGGAACCGAGGCTCTTTTAGGTATGTATCCCTTTCTGTCTTCTCCGAGCTGAACATAGATTCCATAAGGACCACTTTTCAAAAGAATCTGAAAACATACAACAGTTAGCAGTTCAAACAAGTCAAATTACACCAGTCCATTAAAACATACAACAGAGCCAAGGTTAAGCAAACCTTTTCATTTGAACCACTATAAAAACCTAGGAGTTTTGGTTCCTCTATCACAGTGTTAGGCTCCGGTGTATCTTCCTCCTCCTCATCGGCATATAATGTTTTAGCAATGTACCTGTTTTCAACAAGAACCAGTACCTCATAAATTTGTAATTTCCAACACTGAAGTGTGTGTTTCACAAGGCAAAAGTGCAGTAAGAAGAAAAATAGTAGTTTCGTTACTAACACAAGACCCCAAGAGTTGTGCACTTCCACGATTTCAAGAGACCATAAACTACTACATGTATTGCATATCTAATGGCTATACAATTTTAGGAGTAATGAAATATATTAGGGAGTTTCCAACACAAGATCTTGAAGGGAGGGTTTGGACAGCCACAAGAAAGTGCAAATGATATGTGGAACAAGATGGTACCAAGAATTAGAAAAGTAGCTAAAAGACATTGGGAGAATCAAGAGGTTTTGGACCTAAGGGTAAAGAATCGTGGTGGTGGGATGAAGGTGCTCAAAGTAAAGTTAGAATAAAAAATAAATGTTTTAAAGAATGGTCTGGGTATAAAAATGTCGAAACTTGAAAAAAAATATAAGTAAGCTAAGAAAGAGACCAAGAAGGCAGTGGGTAAAGCGAGAAATCTAAGCTTTTGACGGATTATACCAAACTTTAGGAATCAAGGAGGGAGAAAAATCTATATATAGGCTTGCTAAGGGAAGAGAAAGAAAGACAGGAGATTTGAATCAAGTGAAGTGTGTTAAAGATGAAGAAGGCAGAGTCTTGATTCAGGAAAAGGATATAAAAGATAGGTGGAGTTTGACAACATTGCATGTCATTTTGTATGATAAACCCAAAATAGTTGCACGTCGGACCTCACTATTTATTTGTATCATAAGAATCAAACTATACAGTAACTATGATTTATTTGCATCGAGGAAACATAATTAACGATCATTCTTCCAATTGTGTATAGAGCATATAAGTTCACCGTTGTGTCAAAATCACACAATAGTAAACGTAAAGTTGATAACTAAGAACCTACAAACCAGATATGTAGTACAATACTGTGGAATAATCATAACAGAATCAAATGATTTTGTTTGTACAGCTCATTAAAGGTTAGGATTAATGTAATTAACTAGCTATTATTTCCTGGTCCTTTCTGTAATTAGAATTAGCATTCATGGGAAATTAATTCCCCTGATTCTTAGGTCAGATTTTTCTTTCAAATCCTGCCTTATGTATTCTATAAATACGTATATGTATTTCTCATCAAATATAAGGAAATATAAAATATATTTCTACATGGTATCAGAGCACGATATGAACCATCTCTAACCTAGCGCCGCCAAACTATGGAGGATCCCAAATTTGATGAATCGCTCAAAGTGGAGACTGGATCATTTCCGACCAGTTCACACGAAGGGCTCACTCACCTTATTACAGGCCATAAATTAAATGGCCAAAACTATACCCAATGGATAAGGTCAGTCAAGATCTTCCTCGAAGGAAAAGGAAGGGAAGGCTACACCACAGGAGGTTCTAAATGTCCCGAAAAAGGAGACAAAAACTTTCAGAAATGGAAACTTGAGAACAGTCAAGTAATGTCATGGCTGCTCAATTCCATGACAAATGAAATTGGTGAAAATTTCATGTTCTATGACACTGCAAAAGAGATATAGGATGCAGTGAAGGAAACATACTCAAATGTTGACAATACATCTGTCATATTCGAGATTAAAAGCATCCTTCGTGACCTTCGACAGGGAGAATCTTCTGTTACTGAGTATTTTAATATACTTAACAAACACTAGCAACAACTCGACATATATGAAGAGGTCACATGGTGTTGCACAGAAGATCAAAAGAAGTATAAGGAACTGGTGGAAAAAGATAGGATTTACAAATTCCTATTAGGGCTAAACAAGGACCTAGATGAAGTTCCACAAGATAGGATTTACAAATTCCTATTAGGGCTAAACAAGGACCTAGATGAAGTTCGTGGAATGATCCTTGGAACCAAACCACTTCTCAAAATTTGAGAAGCCTTTTCAGAAATGAGAAGGGAAGAAAGCAGGAGGAAAATCATGTTGAGAACACCTAACTCAGTTCCGTACAGCGAGAGCTCTGCAATGGCAGCAAGAGGGAATCAGCCTCGGCCACCACAAAAAAAAAACCCGCCCCTGGTGTAATCACTGCAAGAGACCAGGCCACACAAAGGAAACATGTTGGATCATACATGGAAAATCTTCAGAGACCAAATTGTTCAAAGGCAAGGAGGGCAGAGGTAACACAGCATTTAACAATCAAGAAGTTGAGGTATACTCTAACTCATCACTTTTTAGCAAAAAACAAATGGAGGCTCTTCAAAAACTCTTTTAGCAAACCATGTTAACTGCAGAAAAAGGTGGTACTATCGTAGTGGCTCAAAGAAGTAATTACTTACATGCTCTAAACACTAGTAAGGAAAAAACAAAATCATTGATTGTTGACTCAGGGGCTTCAGATCACGTGACTGGAGATTTTACTTTGTTTAATAGTTACTCTCCATGTCCATATAACTATAATGTCCGAATAGCTGATGGTACACATTCTAAGGTCATGGGTAAAGGATCAATTATCATTTCACCAAATATTACACTTGACTCAGTTTTGTATGTGCCTAAACTGGATTGTAACTTGCTGTCTATTAGCAAGATTACAAGAGATTTGAAATGTGTTACTAAATTCTTCCCTTGTGAACTTCAGGCTTTGGAGTTGGGGAAGACGATTGGCAATGCTGAAGAGTGTGCTGGACTCTACCCCAACAAAATGGAGTAGCAGAAAGGAAGAATAGACACATTTTGGAAGTGACTAGATCAATCATGTTAGCCACAAATGTCCCACAAAACTTTTGGGGAGAAGTTGTCCTTTCAGCAACTCACCTTATAATTTGAACGCCCTCCCGTATCCTTAACTTTAAGACCCCACTCTCCACACTTCAAAACCTATTTCCAACCAGCAAAATCTTTTCCTCTATTCCATTAAAAATATTTGGATGCTCAACTTTTGTCCATAACCCCAACCCTCACCGAAGCAAATTAGACCCAAAATTCATCAAATGTATTTTTCTTTCCTCACCAAAAGGGATATAGGTGTTACTCTCCCCATACCAAAATTTTTTACCACACTATGAATGTAACCTTTTTTGAAAATCAACCCTATTACACCAAAACTAGTATTCAAGGGGAGCAATCACACATACATCATATCGAAAAATTCAGAATACCAACTTTTGCCTCTTGAACTAGCCGAACCTATGCCTAAATCAGCTAAAAAATTACCAAACCAAACCTTAACATTCAGCCGAGTGAAAGGACAACAGAAGTTGTGACGGAAACAAAACCAATTATAATCTCATCCACATCTCAACAGGATTGTGATCCAAAAACAGGTAATTGGAAGGGTTTTTGTTATAAAAGGAGGAGGAAGGAGGTAGAGTCAAGCATAGCTCCAATGCAAAGCCATGAGTCAAACCAGACTTTAGAAAATGAAGTTCTCACAGGTAATATTCTTCCTAGCTCTGAACATGTTGATACAACAGATATTGATATTCCTATTGCTATGAGAAAAGGGGTTAGAACTTGCACGAAACACCCTATTGAAAAATATATCTTCTATGGAAAACTATCACAAAGTTACAGGTCCTTTGTAGTAGCTGATGACAACATCGAAATTCCAAATAATATTCAAGAAGCATTGCAGAAGCCTGAATGGGCAACAGCTGTAACAGAAGAAGTTCAAGCACTTGTAAGAAATGGCACATGGGAAATCACTGCTATACCAAAAGGGAAGAAAGCAGTAGGATGCAAGTGGATATTTTCAATTAAGCACAATATTGATGGGAGTATAAACAGGTACAAAGCCCGATTGGTTGCTAAGGTGTTCACACAATCATATGGGGTGGATTATGAGGAGACTTTCGCCCCTGTTGGGAAGCTCAATTCTGTCCAGGTTCTACTATCTCTGGCAGCAAATCTAGATTGGCCCATACACCAATTAGATATAAAGAATGCATTTCTAAATAGAGAATTAGAAGAGGTATATATGAAAATTCCTCCGGGACTTGAATCACCTGGAACCTCCAACATGGTGTGTCGACTTCGAAAATGTCTATATGGCCTCAAACAATCACCAAGGGCATGGTTTGATAGACTAACAAAAGTTGTCAAGCAAGATGGTTTTGTTCAATGTCAAACAGACCATACTATGTTTGTCAAGCACTCTTTGGATGGGAAGATAGTTTTGTTTATTGTCTATGTTGACGATATCGTAATTACGGGAGATAATGATGAACAAGTCAACCAGTTAAAGAAACTTCTAGCAAAAGAATTTGAAGTCAAAGACTTAGGACAACTCAAGTATTTTCTAGGGATGGAAATTGCACGAACAAAGAATGGGATTTCAGTTTCTCAAATGAAGTACACTCTAGATTTACTTCAAGAAACAGGTACGTTTGGATGCAAAGCTGCCAATACTCCCATAGAACAAGTAAAAAGGAGAGAAGATGAGAATGTACCAGCTAATAAAGATAGATATCAAAGTCTAGTCGAAAAACTGATCTATCTAACTCACACCAGACCAGACATTGGTTTTGCTGTAAGCATGGCTAGTCGTTATATGTCAAATTCAACTGAAACTGACATGAGAAATGTGAACAGAATTCTCCAGTACCTGAAAGGTACTCCATGCCGAGGACTTTATTTTCAAAAGAACTCAAACAGGGGTATTGAAGTCTACACCGATTCTGATTGGGTTGGATGTTTATCTGACAGGAAATCGACTACAGGCTACTGCACATTTGTATGGGGTAATATGGTAACTTAGAGAAGCAAGAAACAATTTGTTGTGGCTAGGAGTAGCGCAGAAGCAGAATTCAGAGCTATGTCACAAGGTATTTGTGAAGGAATTTGGCTTAAGCGAATGCTAGATGAGATCAAAAGTCCTACCAATCACCCCATGAAGATATTATGTGATAACAAGGCTGCTATTAGCATTGCGAAGAACCTGATACAGCATGATAGAACAAAGCATGTGGAGATAGACCGACACTTCATCAAAGAGAAAATTAATCATGAAATTATAAGTGTTAACCATATTCCATCATGCCAACAAATTACAGACATTCTAACAAAAGCCTTTCCAAGGAACATATACGAGAATATCATATCCAATCTGGGTATGATAGACATCTACCACCTAGATTGAGGGGGAGTGTGGAATAATCATACCAGAATCAAATGATTTTGTTTGTACAGCTCATTAAAGATTAGGATTAATGTAATTAACTAGCTATTATTTTCTGGTTCTTTCTGTAATTAGAATTGGCATTCATGAGAAATTAATTCCCCTAATTCTTAGGTCAGATTTTTCTTCCAAATCCTGCTTTATATATTCTATAAATACAGTATATGTATTTCTCATCAAATACAAGGAAATATAAAATATATTTCTACAAATACTCACTTGCAGAACTTACAAACCAGATATGTAGTATAATACTCACTTGCACCTCGGATGTTGATCACAACCTATAAAGTAGCCGCTACCAAATCTACTTACTCTAAATATCAGTGTGCCTTCCATACAACTGAAACAAGCCAAATCATAAGTTATCAAGAGAATATCAGACCCCAACAAATCGAGCAGCATATAATGAATGTGGTCAATAAATAATTTTCTACAAATAAAATCAGCATAATGAGTTCGTATGACTTATATTCTTCAGGGCCAATAAATACCATTTACTTCGAAAAGATGTAGTGGATTAGTGGATTAGTACTGGATGATGGAATGTCAAATAAATTTCATAACAAATAAGTATTGATATTCTTACTTTAACAGTTCAACAGTAGGGTACGCACATGTATCTTGTTATCATCTTTTACCACAGCATAAACATAGCATCATGAGGATGTGGTACACATGGTGAGATTAAAGGGAAATTTGTTACAGATTGATAGAATTTGTTAATGTAGAGAGAGTAGAAGGAATGAAAGAAATTCTCATTGTACTTTTTGTGTATAGGAAGATACAAAGAGCTTGCTATATATAGTGGAGCAAGTCTAACAAACTGTGACAAACAAGCTGCCAGCTCAGCAATAATAGAACACACACATATTCCACTACTCTATCCACTACTGAAATAGTCACACTTATTTCACTACATTATACCACTACTCTATTAGTCCCCCTTAGAATCTGCTGGTGGGTGTTTCAAAGCAATTTTGTCTAACACACGCAACTTAGAACGCAGAGGTACAAATTTGGCAGCAGATAAGGGTTTAGTGAGAATGTCAGCCCACTGATCATGTGCTGGAACATGAACTACAGAGAGGTGTTTGCTGAGAACCTTCTCTCTCAGAAAAAATATATCTAGTTCCATATGCTTGGTTCTGTTGTGTAGGATAGGATTATGAGCAAGAGTGACAGTGCTCAAGTTATCACACAGGATCCTAGGCACCTGACAGGAGCAGTGAAGTTCCTGAAGTAAAGACTGAATCCAAATGAGCTCAGCAGCCAATTGAGCCATGCTGCGGTACTCTGCTTCAGCACTGGATCTAGCAACAAGTTGTTGCTTCTTGGACCACCAGGAAACAACATTTGGACCAAGATAGATACAGGCCCCTGAAGTGGACCTCCTGTCATCAGGATCTGATGCCCAATCTGCATCACAGAATCCTAATAATTGCATAGGCTGCTGGACAGGGGCAGGTTGAATGAGTAAACCATGATGCAGAGTGCCACTTAAGTACCTCAAAATCCTCTTGACTGCCTTCCAATGATCCTCTAAAGGATTGGATAGAAACTGACAAACTTTGTTGACAGAAAAGGAGATCTCAGGCCTAGTTAAAGTGGCATATTGCAAGGCACCAACAACTGACCTAAAGTGAGTTGGGTCTTCCACAGCAGCTGAGCCAACTTTGGATAATTTGCTGCTGGAAACCATGGGAATGGGCATGCCATTAGCATTGAGCATATTAAGTTTGGTCAGTAGATCAGAGATGTACTTGGTTTGAGATAGAAGCAAAGAACCATTAGAGAGATGAGAGACTTCAAGACCTAAAAAATAATCAAGCTGTCCCAATTGTTTCAGTGAAAATTTGTTGTTGAGGTGCTTGATTAATGAGGTAATAAAGGGAGTTGAACTGCCTGTGATGATAATATCATCAACATACACCAGAATCATGACCTGAAGCTTGCCTTGATGCAGCAAAAAGAGACTAGGATCACACCTGCTAGCTTGAAAACCAAGTTGAACCAGTGCACTCTTCAATTTATCAAACCAGGCCCTAGGAGCCTGCTTTAAACCATAAATCGCCCTGTTCAATTTACACACCCGTGACTTGTCAGCTGCTTCAAAACCAGGAGGCTGCTGCATAAACACTTCCTCTTCAAGAGTGCCATTGAGGAAAGCATTATTAACATCAATTTGCTGGATTGTCCATTTGTTACTAACAGCAATGGTTAAAATGATTCTGAATGTTACAGGTTTGATGACAGATGAGAAAGTCTCTTGGAAATCACTACCAGCCCTTTGATGGAATCCTTTAGCTACTAATCTGGCCTTGTACCTGTTTATGGAGCCATCAGGGTTTTCCTTTGTTCTGAAAACCCACTTACAACCAATAGGCTTCCTGCAATCAGGAGCTTTCACCAATGTCCAGGTCTGATTTCTCATCAGTGCCTGATACTCTTCTTGCATTGCCTGAAACCAATGAGGAGCAGCCAAGGCCTGACCAACAGAAGTGGGTGCCATGTGGGTTAAAAGGAGGGTAGGATGAAGTCTGGGTAGAGTGATACTTCTTTTGGCTCTAGTTTGCATAGGGTGCACGTTTTGAGGGTGAATGAAAGGTAAAGATGAAGTAGGAGGGCTGAGATTAGGGCTTGAAGTAGCTGGTTCAGAAAGATTATGAGAGGAGGAAGGAGAGATGGTACTAGTTTCAGCTGGATCAGTGAGGATTAGAGCAGGAGAGATAGAAGGAGAGGAGGGAGCAGGAATGGCAGTGAGAGGCTGAGGAACAGGAGTGACCATCTGCTGACTGGCAGAAGTAGAAGATTCAAGAGAAGAACCAGAAGTATTAGAAGGAGGAGAGCAAGGAGTGGGACTGTGACTGCCAGCATGATTGGAAGGAGAATTGGAAGATAAGGACTGAGAAATGGAAGATGAAGACTGACTGGCAGCAGAGGGAATGGAAAGAGGAGGCACAGATGTAGCACTGGAAGACACTAATGAAGGAACTGAAGTTTTGGAAGAATTGGGAAATAAGGAGGAATAAGGAAACAAAGCTTCATGAAACACAACATCCTTAGAGATGTAGATATGTCCATCAGAGGCAAGACATTTGTAGCCTTTGTGAGAGGAGGAATAACCAAGAAAGATGCATTGTTGAGATCTATAGGCCAGCTTATGAGTGTTATAAGGGCGCAGGAAAGGATAACAGGCACAGCCAAAAACCTTAAGAGTGGAATAATCAGGTGGTTTGTTGAGTAATTTGTAGTAAGGGGAGGTATTATTAAGGATAGGACTGGGAATTCTGTTAATGAGATAGGCTGCAGTAACAAAGGCATGATCCCAAAACTTCAAAGGAAGAGTGGATTGAGCAAGAAGGGTGAGACCAGTCTCAACAATGTGTCTATGTTTGCGTTCAACAAGACCATTTTGGTGGTGTGTATGAGGACAAGTGAACCTATGAACAATTCCTAAATTTGTGAGATACTTGGTGAGAGGCCTAAACTCTCCTCCCCCATCAGTTTGAACACACTTAATGGAACAATTGAACTGCAGTTCAACCATTTTCTTAAACTGAAGGAACTGAAGCATAGTGTCAGACTTGAGTTTGAGAGGAAAGACCCAAACAAACCTAGAAAAAGCATCTACACAAGTTAGGAAGTAAGTGTAGCCACTTGAAGATTGCATAGGGGCTGGACCCCAGAGATCACACACCACTAATTCAAAGGGATGTGTGTAGACTGTGGTAGACAAGGATGATGGCAATCTATGAGACTTGCCAATACAGCAAGCATGACACATTTCTGTGGGTGGTTTAGAGGGAATAGCCAGTTTACAGAGTTTGAAAATTTCAACAAGAGCATGATGATTAGGGTGGCCTAATCTGGTATGCCACCGAACATATTTATTAGTTGCTAGAGCAGCTGAGCTATTAGAGTGAGATAAGGGTAAATCAGTGCTAACAGTGGCAGAATTAAGAGAAGAATTGAGGAAAGTACTTGTAGTATTATTATTGAAGGATTCATTACATGGAAGTGTAAGATTTGACATACAATGGGGAGTATTACAACTGCTTATAGCAGGGGAACAAAATAAACTACTGCTAGAGCTACAAGTATGAAGACTGGGACAAGACTTGGACAATGGAGATGCAGCAGGATTAGGAAATTTATAGAGGCCATCATCTCCAACACGACCACTGAGCAACACTTCAGAAGTAGCCTGAGATTTGACAACACAGAATGTAGGATGAAATTCAAAAAACACATTATTATCTTGAGCAAATTTGCTCACACTCATGAGATTTTTGGTAATTTGAGGGACATGTAAGAGATTACTAAGAATGAGAGATAGGTGAGGTTTGTGTGGTAAAGAAAAGGACATAGAACCAACAGAATTGATGGACAAACCTTGGCCGTTTCCTATGAAGACTTGCTCAGATCCAGGCACAGAAGCAGAGTCAGACACATTAGAGGCCTCAGGAGTAACATGATGAGAAGCTCCGGAATCAGGGTATCACCATAGATTATTACTGCTGGTTTCAGTACCTGCATAAAAAGCTTGTGGTGCAGAGGATCTTGGAGGTGCAGCCCTGGGTGAAGCATATGCAAACTGCACAGGGTACATAGCACGTGGAGCCACAAGGAATGGATTGAATGGAGCTCTCTGCTGAGAATAACCAGCACCACTGGAATTGGAGTAACGATAATAGCATACTGAAGCATCATGACCAGATTTATGACAAATCTGACATGACTGTTTGCCAAAACGGCCTCCACCACGACCAAAACGACCGCCTCCACGACCAGAACGACCTCCACGCGAGCCATAGGTATGATTCTCAGCATTAGCAGTGACATGACTTGTTCCTTGAGGAAACGCTTCAGTAGCAACTTGATCAGCGGCGACTGGCGCAGGGGACGATGCTGCCTGAGTGAGATTCACCGTCGCCGGCTCCGCAACCGCAGCTTTGCGATGTTTCTCAAGACGCGACTCGTGAGCAAGCAAGGACGACTCCAGTTCATCCAAAGAGCTCAATTCATCTTTACTGTTGACGGCGGCAACGATAGAATCGTATTCCTCAGGAAGTGAATCAAGCACGATTTCAATTAGGTTACGAAGAGGAACAGGATCCCCAATCGAAACTAGCGATTCACTGATCTCACGAGTGCGCTTCATAAGCTCCTCAATCGTGAGCGTTTCCTTCGTGAGACGGCGAAGCTCAGACCGTAACTGACGTGCTTTGGTAGAGAGAAGTGTGTCGAAGTAACGGTGGATCTCCGTCCAAACTTGCCACGCGTGTTTACACTCAACAAGTTTGGGAAGAAGAGAATCGGAGATGGTAGAAAGAAGTCAGGTACAGATGAGAGCGTCCTGTTGCTCCCATTCCAGAAAGGCACTGTGAGATGCAGGATCTGAAGGAGATGGTGACGGAATCACCGGAACAGTAACGAACCGTTGAAGGCGGTGACCACGCACGACGCCATCAATTTGTTGCTTCCATTGTTTAAAATTTTTGTCGTCAAGTTTAACAGAAATCAGGTGAGAAAGTTTCACCTGAGAAGAAGGAAAAAGAGACTCCATGGATCGGAAAAAAAAAAAAACGCTCAAGATACCATGATAGAATTTGTTAATGTAGAGAGAGTAGAAGGAATGAAAGAAATTCTCATTGTACTTTTTGTGTATAGGAAGATACAAAGAGCTTGCTATATATAGTGGAGCAAGTCTAACAAACTGTGACAAACAAGCTGCCAGCTCAGCAATAATAGAACACACACATATTCCACTACTCTATCCACTACTGAAATAGTCACACTTATTTCACTACATTATACCACTACTCTATTACAGATTATAAAAAAAGTGGTTTTAATATACAATTATTTATAAATCAATTTTGATATTTTTTAAAAAGGAAGAAACTGTTGTGTTTGATTACCATAATAAAATCACATTTTTTTTAAAAATTGTTATGAAAAAATGATTTTGTGGAGTAACTACTCTAAACAATTTCTCATTTGCCATATTCTATTTTTTTTAAAATCTCAACAAATGGATGAAAACTTCTAAAAGTAATTATTTTATTTTTAAAAATTGATTTTTCCACTAAACAAGCTATAACAAATGGACTCTACTATTTTTACTACTTCCGCCCATACTGTGGCTTACCTTGGACACGACCGACTCTCATCTGGGAGAGAACCAAATAAATAATCCACAAATTTTTTTTCTAACATCTTCTCAACCTGCAGTTATAAAATCATTCATGAGTAGATATGATGAAAAACATATGCTACACATTTGGTTTCCAGGCTATCATACTCGCTAACAGATCAAGAAAAACATATTTTGAGACCCCAAAATGGAAAGCATCGCGCAAAGAAGAGAAAATACACACCTGGTGAGTATGAACATTAGAAATACGCTCACAATATGATATAAACCGAGTCCAATAATCTCCAAGGAGGCCTTTCCATTTGGTTATTCCAGCAGAAACATTATCAAGCTGAATAAAAAATGAGGTACATTTCTATTAAAGAAATGATAGGAAAATAACAATGATCAACTACACTAAGCAAAGAATTCAAATAAAAACAATGGGGGGCATGGAAGGAGCCAACAAATATTTTTAAAATACAAAATATAAGTAAACAAACTTGGGTATCACATTAAGATTGCAATAGTAGTAGAAATATACAGCTCTAGCCATTAGAGGTATAAAATCATATTCCTAGGAATGATTTTCCTAGAAAGATCCACAACTAACTCATAATATTCATGCCTACTTTCCCATAATGCTTTTGCATAACTTGAAAGGAATATGATCTAAAATACATTGCAGAGATCAATTTGGGAGGAGACACAATCAAAGTAGATACCTCAGTTTCCATATCAGCAGTGAAACTGTAGTCTGTGACCTCTGAAAAATAATGCGACAGAAAAGCTGAAACCTAAATGTCACCCAAAAACAGCATAAAACTCATCACACATTTCACTTCTACAGAGAAAAAGATAACTGAAAATGGACAAGATTATCATGAGTTAAGTTAAGTTAAGTCAAGTACAATATGAAAACCAAGAGGTCTCGTCTATTTAATTTATAATAAATAATAATGATCACATTCCCCCTGCATCTCATGAGCAGAAGATATTTATGGGGAATTAAATACAAAAGGCTCATTGATGAGGTAGAGGGATTCTCGCGCAATAAGAATATTGAGAAAAGCATACATAATTCGAAGTTGTTCAAATCTGCATAGTATGCAAATTCACCCATGTTTTCTAATTATAAGAATACTGAGGGAAATATAGCAGTATTTATTTAATTTTAAAATGTACATACAAAAGGAAAAAAAAAATTGGAGATGATGGTAAAAAGAGCACAGAACCAGTCATATATCAGATAAATTGCATTTATTACTAATTATAAGAATTCAATATCTGGGAATATATGTGTAAGTGTTGTACCTTGAGATTAGAGGGTCTACAATGTATGCATAGCAAGGAAAAAACTTCAGAGAGAAGATATAAATCAATTGATTCCAAAAATTCTAGCTACTAAACAACAACCAACATCATTTGAAGTCTTCTTTTGCCGTATATTAACAACATAGTACAACAATAGAACTGGTTTTGTCATCCCAACAAACAGGGATGGACCTACGCTTGTAACTATGTGGGCACATGCCCCCACTAAAATCTCAAATTGCTTTCTTTTAAAAAATGGTTCCGCTGTGAGTGATATAGGTTATGCATTTATCAGTATCAATATTGAATGTTATAGAAAATCTCTTAAATATTGAGATATCAATATGTTAACATATCAAGTTATAACCATAATTTGCAATATGTCGATAATTTAATAGTTTTAGACTTTATATGAAAGTGATAAAAATGAAACAAACAATCTCTTGCTTTAAAACTATAAAATTTATTGGAAATATTATCATATATATTTATACTTTAAAAAAAAATGTATTAAATTTTGAGTGTTACATATTTATATATGATTTTTGCCCCCACTTAATAAATTTCCTGGGTCCGTCCCTGCCAACAAACAATAAATTCAGAACTTCAAGCTCAAAGCTTACCATGCGACCACGAAATTCTGGAAAGAGAACATGATTTTTCACTGTCACGTAGTTTCTATCCTGAAGCAACAAACAAATGAGGGCTAAAAATCCTTTCAAACTGATATTTAAAAATTAAAGCATGCAATGCCATAAAATTTCAATGCAAGATGCAGTAAATATGTTGAAATAAAGAGAGTGAGAGATAGCAGCCACAAGTAAATTCCACAAGAAGACTTAAATTTAGTTTTAGAGGGGGAGAATATAAAAAGGTAAATCTTGGATATACAAAGTCTGTTTCTCAATTCACTTTGGAAATTATTGTTTCAATGGACAACTATTATTGTGTCCCAACAACTCAATAAAGACCAAATTGGAAGTCACAAACTATGACATGTATGATCCATGGCAGGACATTCTAATGTCATAGGATTCATATAGCCAATCTCAGCTAGTGGGAATATGCTTTGGTGGTATCAGGTAATATATCCTGAAGGTTTCTCTTATGTTCAGGTGCCTTGGTTTTGCCTGGAACTTCAACCTTGTGAAGCAGTGAAACCAATGTGTTTTGTTAAACAGTTATTTCCAGTGTGTGAGCTCTTCTTTCAGATTACTGACAGCTGTCAGTCAGTTATTACATTTTTTGTTCTGATTACCTGTTTTTCATTTTCACCAGCAGACTTACTTTCATTTTGTTCTTTCACCCAGCAGATAGATTTTTCTTATTTCTTCTTGTTTTTTACTGTCCAGCTGCCTCTGTTTAATTAGCTTTTGCTGGTTGTGTTGTGTTGAAAGTCCCACATCAGATCCTATGTGGTCTAAAAATGAGTTTATAACTAAAAGGCGTCCCTCATCTTACAAGTTGGCTTTGTAGTGGTTGAGTTAGCCCAACCGAAATTCTAAGATACTATCAAAGCCTTTCCAAGATATGCTCGTTGAACTATCTACTATCGGAACACTGACTGAGGCCACATTCCAAATGTCAAGTCCTAGGTATCCCACGTCAGTTGAATGAGAAATGGCCAGAAAATGAGTTTATAAATGAGTCCCCTGTCAGACGATTTTTCATTTCTTTTTATTTTGTTTTGGTCTAGTAGCCTAACGGCCACCTTAAAGGTGAATAAGTAGAGTGTCGCAAGTTCAAACCCCCACCCTTTGTGAGCTGTCTTTATGGGACGACTTTTTATAACGGTGTGCCGAACCCTGCCACCGCTATACTATTCCGCTATAGCAGTGCAATACCGTGCTATTGACAACATAGAAGCATTCTGTTTTTCTATTCTCCGATTCTCTTCTATTTCACTCTGCAGTTTATTTGAGCCTATTTTTATTTACAGTTCTTTTTTTTTTTATAGTTGTCATGCCTCTGTCATAGATCACAATGATGTCCACCATATTAATATGGTGGGTTTTTCACTAGCCACAAAGAAACGCTATCAGCTATTAGTAACAGTTGACAGTTTGAAATGGCCATGACATGAGAAGCCAACAATGAATGTAAATCAAATGGAAAAGCAGATTTACAGCTAAATATGTTAATACATAGGTACTGCAATGGGATGAGATAGACTTTTCAAATGAGCCCCTACGAGTTTCTGAGCCAGTGCAGTGTGAAAATGGAACTGCGTCGAAAAGAAAAGCCTATATGATTGAGTTCTTGAAAACTCCTCACTCCTCAGAGAAATCAAGAATGTGAATGTACATAATTATCTTTGATTATGAGTAGTAACTTAATTGTTAGCCTTGACTTGATATGAGATAAAATAGATACTATATGGTTATGACATTAGACTGTCTCCAATCAAATACCTGTAATACTTTTACCGTGCTTGCATATGTTGAAGGTCTTCCAATCCCAAGCTCTTCAAGCTTCTCAATCTATGACATGCAAATATCATAAGGGAAGTCTGAAAAAGAGAATAAAACACAGAAAGCGCAAGAGAAATGAAAACTCTCTATCTCCTCCTACCAGCATAAAGACTATTTTAAAAAGATCCGGTTCATGTTGAATTCAATATGCAGCAATAGATCTATTTATTTCAGATAACATAGAAGATAAAATAAAATTAGAAATCACAAGTATCTACATGACAAGAATTCAATATATGCATATGGCGCCACACATATAATTCAACGTGAAATCAAGATACGAGTTATTTGTAAAAAAATAAAAAAAAAACTCCAAATGTAGCCTGTCTGTGCACAAGCCAACAGCATGGGTTATAAAGTTTGAGGGACTGTCACTAGTAAAAAGCCAACCACAAGATTAATAAGTATATTTTGCGCAATTTTCTGTCTTCAGATGAATTAACAGATGCAAGTCTTTGAAGTTTTAATGAGTAACCATAAAAGTACACTGTTAGAAGGAAAATAAAATCCAATAAAAAAAAGGCAGGCATTAGTAATATATACACGTTGAACTGAACCAGGTGTTACTCCAACTAAAGGAAATGGGTGTTGTTCATTAATTAAGACCAAATATTTACAAATCAATAAAATGAAATCCCGTTGACTTACACATCGTTCAGAATTGCCTCAAGACCTCACGATATCTGGTAACATAAAAACCAACAATTTTGAAACCTAACAATAGCATTGCTCAAAGGATGCATGTAACATACTCAGTTATGTTAAAATGCAATACCTATCTATTCATAATATACAACTCATGTTAGGATTCTAATATCAGGCATAAATTCTACGTACAGCGAAAGAGCAGTACCAGCTGAAATCAGAGCACTCATGGTATATAATATTAATACTCCCTTAAGCATAACAAAAATCACAAAATGACTTACCAATGATGCTTCGGTGTAACGTGGTGGCGGTTGTGTATGGTGCTGAGACGCCTCAGTTTGAACAAGATGTAACAGATCCCCTGTCTAAACAATAGAAGTCAATGAAGGGAAGGGTGTTGCATAATTTATGGCATCAATAAATACTGAAGCATAAATGAATACTAGTTATGCCTAAAATGAAAGCAATCAGGAATTAGTTTTAATCTACCCCATTTCCGATTGATGTGTACATTGGAAATACAAAAAGGTACATAACAAACCTAGCATAAGGCTAGGTAAGAACAACTAGCAAAATTAGTAGGGAAGTTTAGACAGGAAAACACATTCCCGAGCCTCCATCAAAGTTGATCCTTGACATACAATTAAGTCACTATAACCCGTTGACTAAGTGATTAAAGTTCAATAATTGCTGCCCCATTCTATCAAATAAAGGTTAATTTCTGCCCAAGGTAAAACGAACTCCAACACAGACAAACTTTATATCTAAAGAGCTCTTGCGTGAGGAAGGAAGGTTAAAGGCAAAATTTTACTATCTAATATCTACATAACTACAAAAGCTTTTAGAAGAGTTGGCTTTCTTCAATTAGAAATATAATAAAATAGAATTCGGAACACGAGAAACTAGTAAAATTTACATTTTACAATGGCCCTTGCCATCTTGTTAGTATGTATGCTAAGACCGTCTTTTTAAAAACCCAATTCCCATTGGCAAAGCAACATGAGGTAGCCAAGAAAAGCAGAGAGTACAAATAAATGGAGAGAGGCGTGAAACTATCTTCAATAGTATAAACAACAATAAGTTTCCATAAGTATTACCTTTAAGGAATTTAAAACCTCAAAAGCTACATCATGATTGGATCCATCACTATCTTTATCTTGTCCAGCTTCAGTGACAATGTCCTAGAAGTGAAAAAGAACCATATGTAAGTCGGGAACATCAGTTTCACAGTCCTACACTTTTAAAGGTACGTGTGGGCATTCTCTACTTTAGCTTCAATAGATACAAAATTATTCGTGGACCTAGAGCTTAAACATTTTGAAGCACTGGTACTTAAGACTTAAGAGGAACGTCAAAAATAAATTGGTCGAAAACAAAATTGTGTCATAACCTCATATTATACATAAGGGATCAAATTCACATTGAAACCAATGTAAATTAAATGTATTTCTACAATTCAATATAATTTTTGTTTGGAAGTGGTAACTATAGAGTAACTTCAACATAAATATAGAAAAGAACATGGAAAATATTGGCAACATTTCAAGCTTCGATATTAAATATATTGCTCAGGTCAAATCATGATCTTGGAGCTAATGTATACTCTGAAGCATATAGCAGGAATTCAAAATATATTTCTTCATAAGCTTAAAACTGGAAATCTACCGGCAATAGATATTTTCCTGGTTGTAGCTAACTGGCATATGGACTAAAAATAATACTATAGTCCATCGATATCAATAAAAATAATAAAAAATTAACAGCAACAATTAACTTGATGATGATTATCATAAGTATAAGTATAATAAACAAATAAACTAATTATTTGTAGAGCACAATCAACTGGTATATGAATGATTACAAATCATCACAAGGCTAAATAACATCACCTCACAATATAATTTATCTACAAGAACTAACCGTACCGTAAAAACTGCCCGGTGTCCAGGAAACTCGACCCTTGAGCTAGGAGACCGTAACATAATAGACCGATCAGCATTTCCAATATCAAGTTGTATCTGTAATTAGAAAGACATCAAGAAACATCACTGGTCACGAATAATAATATCAGATTGAAGCATGTAAACTTTAAATGAACACAGATTATAATTTGAGCTCATATATTTTGTTAATGATCTTCTTTTAGGACCGATACAATCTAACAATAGTAGAAATGGAAAGATGGTTATGAAAAATTAATTTACCGAAACATTTTTTCCTTTTTATTAACCAAGATTCCATACAACGGAGGAAATTGATCACTTTTAAGATGAGTGAGAGAAAGATAAAAATCAGACCTCAAATTGAAGAACCCGCGAATAAGATACATGAAAAACTAAACGATAAAGAAAACTAAGGTGCTACTGATATGAAAGCACAAGGCATATGTTGAATATTATTGAGCATCATTAGTTTCCTGGACATATTTTTTTTATGTAAATTATTTGTTTCTCTTGTAATCACTTTAATCAAGGGATGTTATTATATAAGCTTATGTATATGAGTTTATGACTATTTAGAGTCTGTCTCACACAACATTAGATCTATTTTTTGCATTATTCTGCAGCTACTTCCTTTTAGAATAAACTGTTTGGTTTTGTGGATCAGGTTCTCTTCACTGATTTCAGAGATTTGGGCTTGCACAAAGAGCCTAAATATTGAGTCATGTTCTGTCGTTGCATTTGGTTAGTGTTTATAGCTGGAAAGGAATCCTAGAAATTTGAAAGGCACTTGCTAAATTCTAGACTTTATTAGAGACAGAAATTTTTTATAGCCACCCTTAAGTGTTCTATTCATGGTGTATTTAGCACAAGTGGTACTCTCAGAAATCAATAGAAAGGTGATAGAAACCAACTGATATATAAAAGAAAATAGGGAAAATCCCTTTGATTTACAGAATAATACCGCACAACTTCGACGGTTTGCACCTCCCAATACCAAAATGGCCCCTTTTCCTATCCAATTTCAAGATGATCAACTCCCCAATGTCTTCCCCTATTTATTTTAGGCCTAAACACTCTGAATTAATATTATAATAATTCTAATAATTATCCACTAACTCATAATAATTTAATAACAGTTACGAAATTGAAGAGTCTAACAATACTCCCTCCTTAAAGATTCACCTTGTCCTCAAGGTGAAAGGAATACATAATAGAAAAAATGTATCCTCCTGGATCCCATAACTTGAAACATAAAGGTAGAGTTGTACATGAAATAAGAAATTTTCCCCCAGGATCAAATTTGCATGCTAATGGCGGTCCTCTCGTGACCACTTGTTGTGGCCACAGTGGCACCGGTAGTGGAAATTTCTTGTTCCTAGGCTTTATCTTAGGAAATTTCTTGTTAGACTTTGCATGTGATGAAATAGCCAACTCTCTGTCACTTCTCTGGACCTTTGCTTCACTAGCGGCCATCAATGAATCTGTATTTTTCACTTCGTCGCTCTCGCAATCAGATTTGATATCCACTTCACAAACTTCTTTTTCACTGTATTGTTGGATTTGTGAGTCATCAACTTTACCACCAATCTTCTCTTCAGTTGGTAATGCTATTGGTTCCTGAATTTCACTGCTGCCTTGGATTTCCTGTGTTTCATTTTCACACTCCAGTAGACAATCCCAAACTTCTGGTTGGAATTTCTTGAGAATGGCCTTTACAAAATTCCACCAACAAGTATTTGAATGACTCTCCTTCCAAGAAATCCACCAATCAAGAGCATCTCCTCTCAATGCAAATGCAACAGCCCACTCAAGCTTCATCTCTTCAATCATTCTTCTTGACCCGAAATATTGCTTAGCCTGGATCAATCACCAATAGGCCTACCTTCCATCAAATCTTGGAATCAAATCTGCAGCCATATTCATACCAAAATTTCCAGCACACCGGCAAAATCTTTTTGAATCAGAACGGCTCTGATACCAGTTGATAGAAACCAACTGATATATAAAAGAAAATAGAGAAAATCCCTTTGATTTACAGAATAATACCGCAGAACTTCGAGGGTCTGCACCTCTCAATGCCAAAATGGCCCCTTTTTCTATCCAATTCCAAGATGATCAACTCCCCAATGTTTTCCCCTATTTATTCTAGGCCTAAACACTCTGAATTAATATTATAATAATTCTAATAATTACCCACTAACTCATAATAATTTAATATCAGTTACAAAATTGAAGAGTCTAACAAAAGGTTAGCATGCTTTGTTACATGTTCCGGTTTTGCTTCCTTTTCTTGGGAGGATGTCTTATCCTCTTTCTTTATACTATTCTTTTCCTTCATAAAAATCTGTTATCTTGTGGTTCCTTCATAAAAATCTGTTACCACATTACTGTCTAAGAAAGTAGAAAAAAGTTGCATCACTTCAAAAAGTTTGAACTCTAAATCAACCTACAGCCATTCTCCAAGCAAAGAAAAAAATACTAGTTTTTTTTTTTTTCAAAAACAGCTGATTAAAAAACTCAACTTCAAACATGCTATACTTTATCTCTTGATGGATATTTTATATTCTAACCTTCTCAAGAATAGCCGGTTCCATCTGACTTGTAACTGTTCTTGACCAAATAAGTGTGTATAGCTTTAAGGATTCTTCATCTAGTACCCCAACCAGCATTGCTGACAAGTCCTCAAGAAGTAATATTATTAGCTGAGGTTCACTATTGAAGTAAAAATAATTATGAAAGAAGCTCATATTACATGGTGACTTGCATATGTCAGTCGGTCTAATAACTTCATGGGCTTCTTGTGCATTTTTCACCTTTTTAAAATACTTTGGTGGACTTTGTGCAACAAAATTTTGTCCATACCTGCACCCAGAAAATTTAAACACACATAACAATAATCAAAACTTGCTTAAACCACAAAATAAGCATTCAAACTTAAATAAAAAATAACCATGCAACTCAAGACAAAATTGCTAGGGTGAAAAGTATCAATAAATGCCTTAAATGGAGTTAGAACAGAACTACTCTTTTGATCTCCAAACCACTTTTTTTAAATCCCAACTATACATGTAAATTATTTCCTTGAGTTTCATTTATTTATTTATTAGACTTATTGAGTGATTTTTAGGTATATTCTTTTCTGTTTCAATTTAAGCATTATATTTTCACGGTTGTTAGTTAGAGTTTAGGGAAATAATACTTTGCAAAAGTTGGGCATATTAAAACTAAACCCTAAAACTGATACGTCCTCTACTCTCTTATTTCTGTAACCCTGTACCACTTCATCTTTCTCCAGAAACCACCAAATCATGGCCGGAACCGTAAAAGGAGATTGTTGTATTGAAGCCTATGTAGCAGTCACGACGGGCAGATTTCAGTGCAATTTGTGGCAGTGATGGCCGCTCCGGTAAAATGCAACTCACCAGACTATTGTGTCACAACAGATCTCACTACCACACTGCAAATCCACAATCACGCACAGTAGTGCTGCATTTGAAAAAATATGGCTTGCATGTCTGTTGGCAAAATGTAATTTCTATGCAAAAATGTATGAAACCCTGTATAAGCAAAATAGCTCTGGTCGGTGCATACCAATAAACTGATTTTATATTCAGTAGTATTTGAAGCTCTGGTCGCAAGCATAAACAAAATAAGTATGGAGATGCATACATCACCTTTCAATGATAAGGGAGCGAATACTGGCAACAGCTTCATCAGAAATCTAACAAAGAAAACTCCAAGTATTAAAAATATAAGCAATCATCCACAAACAAAATTATTGGACTGACAGAAAGACATTCTAAATAAGTATAAATGACATCCACATGTGTGAACCCCCTAGTAAAAGACATAATTGCAGTCTCATGTAGAAGATAACAGGAGATTAGTGGTGACATTTAATTAGCCAAGATCTGTGACATAGTTGTTATAGAAAAGCAATGTTAAGTACGGTAAATAGTTATACAGAACAAGAAGGATATATTTTGAGATGACATGATTGGCTGGCTTCCATGGACAATTAAAAATATAATGATGTACAATATTTATATACAGTGCCCGGAGAGAGTAGTTCATAACATTTCAACCATATTTATGAACCAGAGTGATACGTACATGGAGTCCATCAGTTCTGACGAATGTTATCAAACCCACTGTTTCACCACTAGGCAGTTCAACTCCCTCGTAGAGTTTCTGAGCAAGCTGCATTAATAATTCAATAGAAATTAATGATAAAAGTAATTCTAGAAAGTTTAAACATAATTTCGGATGAAAGCCAGATATTGTTCATTATAGCCATGGTTATGTCCACGTCAAGTAGGAAAATAGAAAAGGAATAAATTAAAATTAGTACCTTCATTGTGTGACTTGCTGAGAAATTCAATTTGTTTGCAGCATCTTGCTGAAGTGTTGATGATATATAAGGTGTTGGAGGATTTCTTTTAACTTTGTGTCTTTTCATGCCAATAACCCGAAAGTCTGCAGAGTTTATTTTGCCCTTAATATCACTTGCCTCCCCATCAGAAGTAATCGAAAATTGATTCAACTTGTTAGAATCAAAACTAGTCAGGTGAGCAAGAAATGTTAAGTCCTTGTTTAATCTCTGCTCTTTAATGTTAAACTTGGCTTCCATAGTCCAATACTCCTTGGGTTTACATTGATCAATTTCCATTTCCCTATCACATACAAGAGAAAGTGCAGCAGATTGAACTCTTCCTGCTGATTGACAACCCGGTAACTTCCTCCATAGTAATGGTGAAATGTTAAACCCAATCAAATAATCAAGGGCCCTCCGTGCAAGGTATGCATGAACCAAATTCACATCAATTTCCCGTGGTGCTTGCAAAGCAGTTTTTATAGCCTTCTCGGTTATTTCATGAAAGACAACTCTTGCCAGAAAGATATTATCGTGCAGAGCTCCCTGTTGTTGTAACATCTCAATTATGTGCCAGGCTATAGTCTCTCCCTCGCGATCAGGATCAGATGCAAGAATAAGATTTTCTGCTCTGTGAAACAAAATAAAATGAAATAAGCAAGACAGACCATTGTGCATAAAAGCATAGAAATGAAAATAACATGACATCATAATCAACAGCAACCGTGATTAGTCCACCCACAAAGAATTATACTAATGTAACGAACTAACGCTGCTGGAAAACTAGAGTAGATGTGAGAATGTACCCATTCAATGCAACATTGATGCTCTTTAGGTGAGTCCAGGCAGATGGCGGAACTTCCCAAACCATACTAAAATCATCGTCGGGTCGCACAGATCCAGACCTTGCAGCCAAGTCTCTTACATGACCATAGCTCGGCAAGACTTTATACATATCACCAAGGTATCTCTGAATAACATTTGCCTTCGTTACAGACTCCACAACAACCACAGACTTTCCCACGGGTGGATACAGTGGTTTTCCCGTAAATTTCCACGGCGGCTTCTCCGGATCAACATGGCTAGAGTTTACATCCTTCTTCTTTGACCTTGTAGAAGTAGAATCATCATGTACTTCTTTTGAAGTGCTAGCCTTTAAATTAGTCTTCTTCCCTTTTGAAGATGATTTTCTAGAAACTTCTTCATCAGTCGCAGCAGAAATGTTAACATCTTTCTTCTTACTCGGCAACGGCTTCTTCTTCTTCTTAGCAGCATTAATTTTAGAATCCTGTTTATCACTCTTGGACTCATCACTCAAACCAGTTTTTCCTAAATCCGCATTCACAATTTCTTCAGCAACCGGTTTACTAGAACTAGCAGCAGGTTTATCACGAACAGCAACAGCAGCTTTTACAATTTTCTTCCGTTTATTCTTCTCCGGTCCAGCGGAGGACGAGAACGACGAGCTTCTTCCAACGCGATTAACCGGAAATGGAATACTGAAACCGTTAACGGATGTGACGGAGTTCAATATATTAGCATTGTTGATAACACCGAAGTAACGAAACGGAAAACGGTTACGGCTTTGAACGGCGGCGGCGGCGTTGGATGAATTAACAGTTGGCGGAGAGATTAACTGATTGTGAAACGATCTGAGTTGAAACTGCGAGAGAGAGAGATTAACATAACACACGCGATTATGTTAACGATGAAGTAATTAATTAAAATAAATAAAAATTAAAGAGTAAGTTAGGGAGGATTAGAGTGACCGTGAGGTGGCGGAGAGTGGCGGCGGAGAAGAATCTCCGGTGAAGGTGAATCATCGTGTTGAGAGATTATTGAAGTTTCATTGTGTGAGGGGTTTTGGTGAGGAAGAGGGTTTAAGCTAGTAACTGGAAAGGATTAGCGGGATTGTATGATTTTGCTTCTTTTTTTTATTTTTTTTAAGGACAATTTTAATTTATCATATGTGATGTGTGATTTGTATTTTCTTTTTTCATTTTATTTGTTTTAATTTTTAGACTTAATTAAACTTTGGTCTTCTTATTTAGTATTTTTATTGATTTTGGTCTTTTCACTTTTAAATTTATTGTATTAGTTTCTCTTTTTTTTAAGTTTTAATGTGAATTTTGGTCCTCTTTTAAATTTGAATGCATTTTTGTATGACATGGTATTGTTTTTATGATGCGTTAATTTCATATCATGCAAATATTAATGTAATTCATTTTTTTTAATTTCATAATATTTTAATATTTATTTTATGCAAATAATATTATATTAATATTGAAATGTACATAAATCCTAATCACCCCACATCTATCTTCATAGCATCGCCTCCATCTTCTCATCGTCTTCTTCTCCGGTCTCATAAACCCTTCATCCACTGTTTTTTTTCATCGTCCTCTCTTCAGTCTTCAAACAACCCAGTATTTATAACTCCTCCGACGTCTCCTTCACCCAGCAGGTATGTTGATGAGAAAAATAGCAAGTGTACTATTTTGCCTCTTGTGAAAATTCCCTGAATGTCGATCTCAAGGACTGCACAGAATTACTGAGTTTAATGCGAACTCAATGTGGGGATTTGGTTTGGTAATTATACTTAACAATAATTAAAAATATGTGAAGATAAATTATGAATTTTTTTACTAGTGTGAATACTATGTTAGGGGTGAATGTGTGGTTTTGATCTCTTCTACAAGTTCATTACCTTCAACTACTGACCCTTTAGATTATTTTCCCATAAGTCTTTAGTGAGAAAACCTTTAACCATCCATCCTAAATCATAAGTCCTTAGAAATATTTGATGGAGTCAAGTCTTGATTAAATCTGGTGACTATAGGGTATCCCTAGTCCTAGGTGATATCTATTATAGCCTAACATACAAAAACCTTAACAACTGCGGTCCAGCTGATTATTAACCGTAACTCAATCTTAATTGGTCTGATCATGAAAGCATTAGAAACCTTGAACGATTAAGTTGAAAGGAAACTATTATATTAAAAATCAATAATTCATAGTCAATTCATTTGGAAATCAGGGACACCCCCTAGCATTGGGGATTTAGCCGCATATAATATTCAAAGAGATTTCAATAAACATAAAGATAGACATTACATAAATTGATGGTGAACTCTGATCTTTAATTGCTTCCACTCATGAAAGGTCTTCGTTCTCCAAAAACATGCATAGACTTCAATCTTCTGTCGTCAAATTATTCCTAGTTCCTAAAAGTTCTCTTTTTCTTCACACAAACAGGTTTTTATAGCGTTAGGTCATCCCTCAGTGATGCAAAATGTCCACAGTATCCTTAATGACCCAAGAATACAGTAAAATCTCAAAATTGGACTTCCAAACGCCTAGGATGACACGGGTCGTGTCACCGGACACGGACACCCATGTCAGCGTCTATGATCTACTTCATTCAACCTTTTGGCCTAGCTGAATTGACACGGGCCGTGTCGTGTGACACAAGAACCCGTGTCAGTGTCTGTGATCTTTCCTCAAAAAATGCATGCTTCAGTTGACTTGACACGGGTCGTGTCGTGTGACACAGACGCCTGTGTTGCCTTCTACCTTGCTCCAATCTTCACTTTATTCCAAATTCTCCCCCTGATGTGACCCGTGTCAGACGACACGGCCACCCATGTTAGGGTTCCTGGAGCACTTCTTTCTGAACTTTTGAATTCTGCATTTTTCTGTCCCGATTTGTCCTATTTTATTTTTTTAAACCTGAAAATACTAAAATACTAAACCACAATATAAAATGCGGTAAACTGAAATAAAACATCATTCAATTAAAATAAATGATTACTGAAATAAATGCAGAATTCCTGTGTAAAAACCACTGATCATATGTCTGAAACAAATTTTTCATTTGCCTCAACAAATCAGTATGGTGCAAAAAGAATAGGGAGTGGATGTTAGTATGGGCTTAAGTATCCATTGATGACGTCATGGACCTACGAGAATCCAGGAAGAAGATTTCATGGTTATGGTAACTTCAAGGTGTTGAAGAAAAAAGGTTGTAATTACTTTCAATGGTTTGATGAAGACATGAGCAACAGAGCAAAAGATTTGATTAGAGCAGGACAAGACTGACGAGATTGCTGCAATACTTAGGGACACCAAGAATAGTAAAGATTTGCTTAAGATGAAGATTAAGTTGATGTCTTCTTTTGTTGACTTATGTATGGTGTTTGTGTTATTAATTGTGTTTGCATTGGTTCTAACACATGCACTCAAATGAAGTTGGTCGTAGGGTATTAACTGAAATTAGATCTGATATAATTTCTCTTATTGTACTTGAATCGTTATTTTTTATGGGATGAAAATTGACATAAGTTTACTCTAAGTCTATGTACTTTAATCTTTACTTTATCTGCAGTTGTGTCTATCTGTAATTATGTTTATTGCCATAAGTTTGTCAAAATCGTTACTTTATCTGCAATTGTGTATATTGCCATAAGTTTGCCCAAATCCTTACTGTGATACGGTGGCCAGAACCGGGACGTGTTTCCCTTTTAAGGAATTACTGGTTTGCGTTTTACGTTTGTGTTCGCAAAATATCGCGGTAAGCAAGAGTCGCCACCGACTTTTATTTTATCCAACAAGGAAAGGAAAAAAGCACAGAAAAATTCCTTTTTCGAGATATTTCTGAGTACGGGGGGTAGATTATAGAAAGGGAAGGTATTAGCACCCTTTCTATCCGTAGTTATCTACGAGCTCTTAGGTACTTGCTCATCATTTTCAAAATTGTTTTCTTTATGTTTGTGTGCTTTGAAAAGTTTTTGCTTTGACTTCGATTTAACTCTTGTTTCTCTCCTCAAGAGTGTAATGAAGTGTGTTTTGAAAACTTTGTTTGCAAAGGAGTGTAAGTGTGAAAAAGTTTGTTTGGATTGAGCAAGTACTTAAGAACTAATCTACCTACTCGAGAAAAGAATCGTTCTGTATTCGTTTCCTTTAGGCAGTTCTATCCCACTATTAGTGAGTAGTGTTGTACCCTAATTTTTGACCTAAGATCCCATTTTTATTTTTTGCATTTTTAAGATAAGTCAAGGTCACGAAATACGGTCGGTTTTAACCTCTCACCTTCGAGCTTTGACTATGTGAAGATTGTCAAGTGTTTTGAACATTTTTAGCCTATGTATCACTAATTTCTAATCGCATACAAAGGTGTATGTTCATGTTTTCTTTTGTTTCATGTGCAGAGACCGGTCTGAATCAAGAGCATCGGGTGTCGCGCCTCAATTAAGGTTTTGAGTCTCCCAAGCCAGAAGTACGGTTGATTGTGGATTCTCGAAGACTGATTCATCAAGGCACACCGTTGCACCCTTAATTTCGCCCCTAATTTTTTTAGTCGCACATTCATACCATATTTTGTCATTTGGTCACAATCATTAGTAAATATCTTCATTCATCATATTTTGCATCATTTTGTTGTATTTAAGTTGACCAGAAAAGTCAGTTTAAATCAAAGTTTGCATCGTCTTTTAGTTAAAAAATACCTGACATTTCACTTCATGCATTTTTATCTCTTTACTCGTTTCTTGCATTGCTCCAAGTTGTTTATATGTCGATAATAAAAATATTTCGGTTTTATAGACAGACTGTTAAAAGCGATTCGACACTATGCGGGAAATTAGCGAGAAAATATTTCAAGTTTTCACCTTTTACCGATCATTTTATGAATCTGCGTTTCGCGTAGATTATGACGGTATGCTCGCTTTATTTTTTCGGTACAGTTCGAAGTCTCGTTTTTAACCTTAAACGTCGGTTTAGTCTGATATTTTTATTATTATTTTATTTTTGATTTTTGACTTCTTGAATATTTTTTTCTTTAATCTTCGTGACATGTAGATTATTTTAATGTGTTCATTTTATTTTTTCGGATAAATTTTCGTCCGTTTTTTATCATTTTCGATCATTTTTGGGTCTTTATTTTTTATTCATAAAATATTCAAAAAAATCATTTTAAATTGAGTTATTTTTTATACTTTCAAGTTTTTATTTTTATTTTGTCATTAAAGGGCTTTTTAGTCACAAAAAATATTAAATATACTATGCTTGATTTTCATTGGTTGTTGGATGAAATTGAGGATCGATACAAAATTTCCAAAACCTGGCTCTTCCAAAACACTTCCAAGAGTAACTACTTTTATGTTTTTTTTTAGTGGGAAACATGGTTTGATATTGAATTAACCATGTCAATAAAGAGTAACAAAAACAACAGAAGCAATTTCACAAACACTTGGTAGACACAAAAATTAACGTTTGTTTTTGTTCCTCTTCGGCATGCTACCATTGAAGCATGTAGTAACCAAACACAAACACAAATTCAAACTGAAATCCATCGTTTCATCTTCCAGTTCAATTCTCGACCAAATCCATAACACTCACTATGCATCATATACATTACTTTCTTCATCACCAACACCTTCATCCTCCATTATCATCCCAATTCCTCTCCATCAATTATCCGCATACCCAACCTTCACACAAACTCCCTCGGCCAACTGCTGTAAACCCTTCCCCAACACCAAAACAACCACCATTCCACCGCTCACTGCAGATCTACGATCTCAGAAGCCCCTCCTTCCGGTGACGAAACCACCGTCATGACAGTCTCCATCGTTGTTGCGCCTCTGAGCCAGAGATCCAACCGCTACCATGGACAGATCGCGACCGAGCTCAACAGATCTACCTTTAACTCAGCTCCGACCCACAACCGCAGGCGTCTCCCTCCGCGTCGACACTGCTTCTTCTTTCGATAACTCTATCCTCTAGTTGTGATTTTTGACTTATGATTTCTACAATTTGATTTTTG